CGGAGAGGACAGAATGGGTGCTAAAGGCCACGTATAAGCAAGAACCAACGTGCCTTAGACACATTTGAATATAGGGCAAACATTCAGAAACTGACGTCAGTGCTGTCTCTGCGAGGCAAAGAACTGCATCGGCAAACGTTAGAAGGAAACATCAGAGGAACTGATGCAGCACCAGAACACCAACCATGCCTGAAAATCCTCTCCTAATAACTTAGAGCATAACACGGATATTTTGCACTTTTCAGGTCTTAATGATGCCCACAGAATGAATACAACTGTTTTGTTTGTTGTTTGTTGTTTTTTTTTTTTCCTTAGAAGTTCGTGAGTGGAAAGCGACAAACCTACCATAAACAGATGCTGCAAACCTTGCAAGAATCAAGGGCACTCTGACGTCAGATGAAGCCAAAGTATGGTTTAATACAACTGGTGTGAACACTTAATTGCTTTCAGCTGAGTTCAAGCCTAGTCTGCTCCAAGACATCATATCAAAACTTCTCCATTCATGCCACACGGCTTACCTCCTGCGTTTAAGATTTAAAACTGAAGTTTCTGCTAAGAAATCCAGAGCATGTATCAGTGGAGCAGAGAGGAATGAACAAAAAAAAAAGTGAAATTTAGGTAACATATTCATCAGATCGTTTGTTTCAGCCTTGTACTCTTATAGCTGTTTTAGTCCTACAACAAGGACTCTGCTTGATAGGAAGATGACTACAGGACTCCCATGTCTTCAAGCAGTGGGCAGAGTCTTCTATCTTTATAAAGCAGCGTAAAGCTTGTTTTCCTGGGAGTCCCTGAAGGCTTTTTCACTGGACCTGGAAAAGAATGCGTACATCCTAGTTCCTTCCACCAGAGCTTCACAAACAGCAGCAGTAACCAAGGTAAGGGGATACACTATAAGTAAACTGGACAGTCTTCAGAACGCTGTAGACTTCTGTTTTTCCCCAGCAGACAGCAGACCAGTTTCACCCAGTCCTCTGCATGGCTGCAGCAGTGCCAAATCCTAGCACAGGGTGAGCTCTGTGGCCCTGGTGAGTTCAAACGCTGGTTATCCATTCTGCAGCCCTCCTACAACTGGTTTCTGAGAAGCATGTATTGATAATGTATTTAGGCATGAAGAGTCACCTCAATGACTTCTTTTGAATCTTTTATCTGAATTTCACTGGTTTGGTAACCAATCAGTGTGACTTGTAACCAACAAGCAGCACAAGAGATGAAAAGGCAGAAAAGAAACTTGCTGTACTCCACACAAAGCAAGGTATCTTTCAGGCAACAGCACGTCTTTTAGTTACAGAACTAGTTGATAGGATTTCTTTTCTGAATAAACACCAGAAGGCAAGACTGAATGCAAAAGCCCATCACCTCTTTCAGTTCCACTAGGCTTTGGTCAAGAACACCGTTCGTTCCTGATGGGATCATCCTGAATGTGTACTGAACAGGAAATTTCACACCCTACAAGTTTAAGAGTTATCTTGTTAGTATTGGCTCAGCAAAACAGTCAGAGGTAAAAGGTCTACCTGGATGGAAAGTGACAACAGGAGCACGCAGCCAAGGCCAGAAGAGCAATGCAAATACAGAAACTGCAGCAGAAATGCATTAACAATTAATTTACAAACGCCAACTTTATTTGAAAGTTCAACAATGAGGAGAAAACACATTGCAATTGCTTTAGCTTTTAAAAGATCCCAAAATAAATTACGAGACTTGCACAGTTCTAGATATGAAAAAGATCATAAAAATTAACGGTGCTTTCCTATGGCAGAATTAATCCTTTTCCATTTTGACTATATGAAAGTTGCCTGTGCAGGGATTATTTTTATAGCTACACAAAAACCAATACAGTTTTTAGGTCTGGATGCTTCAGTAAAGATTTACAGGCGTAGGCACTTGAAGGCAAAAAGAGATCAAGAGAGGTAACATCCCACGAAAGTCAGATCTCTCTATTCACACGTGATCTCTAACTGAACACGACTGTAAACTGCAGAAGGTTTTAAGTAGGCAACGTTATTCCACACCCGTAGAAGGGCAAGGGTGCTGTTAGATTACAAAGGTTACAGTGGAGTTTAATTTTAATTCAAGACCTTGACGCCCTCACAAGGTCACCAGTGCTTTCTACAGAAGGCACATTTTTCAGAAACAGATTATGTTTGCATTGGGCCTATCTTGACAGGTTTGAACCACACTGATTTTTACTGTCTTCAGCTCCCTGTTAAGGAAAACCACCATTTATTCTGAAATTAACTTTTTTTTTTCCCATCATTGTTCCACACTTCCCAGATTTACAGGTAGATTCAGAAAGATTACCACTCAGATAGATAACCACAGAAAGAAACCTAATGTCAATTACTACTCCTTTCAATGCATTCCCTTACAGCATTAAAGGCTACTAACACTGTGGAGGTTTCTCTTTCTACTCTACCACACCAAACCTTTGATGTGCACCAGCACAGAGTTGTCTTCCAAACAAAGATACACGCTTGAAGCCCAGCTCAAGTTAAGCATCAGATTTTTGATAGCTAGGAGATAGCAGATTCAAATTTAGGAAGCTCTAGACACGTTTACATTCATCCCAGAAAACGTTTTCTCCTTTTCACCCCCAATTTCTCTCCATGCCTTTCTTTGGGTCATATCAAGATACCATCTCCCCGTTATCCCAGAACTTGTCTATTCGCAGCATTACTGCTAGTCATGAGCTCATTCAAACGCAAGTCTTTCTGCTCTGTATCTATTTCCCAGTGCTTTCATGCTGATTATTACAGCTCAGTAAAGTAAAAGAATGGGATCTTCATTATATTTGCTCTTCAGGTATTTCCTGCAGGATAACAGCTAGGTAGCTATTGCATATCAGTCTTGCTCCTGACACACTATATACTCTCCCCTTAATGTGCCAGAGTGCTCAGCTCTAGTTCCTCTCTCTGGAGGTATCCATGACATCCAAGCCACACTCACAGACTGGAAATATTATACATAAGCAACTCAGTATAGCTCTGCTTCTGTTTAGCACAAGGACTCTTTTATTCTTTTATTTTATATAGTGGGGTTTTTTTTCTCCTTTCTGCAGATGACAGTCATGTGACCAAATAACCAGCAGGAAAAAATTTACCCATTGGGAGCGCAAATGACATTCTTCAGACTGCTTCGAGTATGGAGAGCTCCCAAAACTGCCTTTGGAAATAGCACAGGCAGCATTTCCACTGATGGGATTAAATGAAATCAGCTGCATTGTGCTGCAGCCATCCAGTTTCCTCTTTGGCTGCAAGAACTGGCATGAACCATGATAAGCCTCAGATAGTGCTTCATTGAAATCAAAGAACTGAGACAGCTCTGACTTATTAGTATTCTCCAAAACAGTGGTGACTGATTTTTAATTTAAAAAAAGAAGAGGGAAAAGGCGATAAAAATCTTATATTTAAAAGTGTGCTTTCTGTTGACAGGAGGCTTTATTACTCCTTGATGACAAAGAAACCATTAGGGTCTTCACAAAAACTTCTCTGTGTGCTTGTAAAATGAAATTCTCCTTCCACTAAACATCACATAATTTATCTAGTTCACCTTAAAAAAAAAAAAAAAACAACACACACATTTTAATCCTTATGAAGGATGTTGGCATAATAGTAGAAACTGTAAGGTACCTCCTTCCAGTCAAGAAGTACAGTCCACATAAAAGACCTGGAAAGACCCCTCTGACCATATTCTTGACAACCCGTTATGTCTTCGGCCCTTCCGTGGTCAACAATATTGTCAAACAGTGTTATTTCTGGATGCAGTCTTCATTTCCAGTATAATCCAGCCTACCAGTTCTGGTCCTAAACCAAACTGCCTGGGTTAGGTTTTGCATATTATGCTCATCCTAATCCATACCCTACAGCAGAGTAGGTGGTGCCCGTGCTTCCCAGCAATCAGCCTTGTAGCTTCACCTGATGACAGAAGACGGCTGTATGTTGTGTTCCCTCTCCCAGCCTGTGACCAGGCTTACTGGGCGCTCACGGGATGTACGTGTGCACTTGCCAATGCAGTACTGAAGAGAGATCAACAACAGCAAAGCAACGTTAGACTTCAAACCCCGTAGCGCTCGGAGTATGAGCAACCTAGTCAGGTGAAAAGTTTCAGACAGTCAAGTGATGTAAGCTAAAACAGGACATAAAGCACCACATCTCCTACGTCAAATGTTTTCACATATTAGAGATGATCCTGCATAATCCACTCATGTTTGTGATACATAAGCAGGAAAAGCAGTCACAAGGGTACGCTTCAGAGAATGCTCCCGCTATTATGCACCTTCTCTGACAAATACCAAAAATTGGTTATGTGATTGGACATTTCAAATACAAAACAGTATTATAGCTATCCTAGCAAGCACACTTGAAGAAAGCAATAAATAAGAAAATCCTGCTGATACAGTAGGCCTAGAATAGCCCTATGGCAAAGAAATGGCTTTCTAAAAGCCTTTACAAGGTCTGCATAGACTGTAAATGCTCAGTATAAAAATAAACAAAAGAGATTATTAAAATATGACACAGTAAAATTTTTAAATAGAGAGGACATGGTAACAAATACAAGCTGTTCCCCTTCATGTACACAGGCTGAAAATTGGAAGCATGTCATTAACCACTTCCCGATTAATGAATTATTTTAGTAGACCTGAAACAAAATTTAGTTTGACGTGAAATAGCTGAAGGCTTTATTGCTTTCATTTCTATTTGGCAATTGAATTTATAATCCTCATTGTGAAACAAAACATTCAAGTGTTTTGGTTTTAGTTTTTAAATGAAACCTCTGTGTACCAGGAGGGTAAGTTTAACCATCGATTAGTGCCTTTTAGACATAAAGTCTGCAGAGACGACAGATAAAACAGTTACTCGTTTATGGCTGAAATAATGATAACTGTCATTAAACAGGGGCCGATACTCCCCTTTTTTTCATCTTGAATGTGACTTATCTTGGTACAAATAGTTTTGTTTGTGAATTGAATAACTAAAGATCACCAGAGCCTGTGGCAAAACTTAAAAGTGGGTGTAGTTTTTCTTCATCTGCAACAATGGGGAGACAATAACAACATCATCTGAATCATCCGAGTGAGCTTCATCCACGGAGAGAGGGGGAGTCGGCTGCAACTGCTTCTCAGAGGACCTGGCTGAAATAATTACAAAGGAAACAAGGTCATCAATAAACAACATTGACAAAAACAAGCCCTCGTGGGAAGTGTAATATTCTCCGAGCCATTAAGTTCCCAGTATTACCTACAGTTATGAATAACTCTGATCTATCTTTTTCTGGATATAACTATTCCCGTTTCTCTTTAATGAAACAGCAGGTATGGCAAGTTGACATACTGACCATGTATGATTTGTCTTACTGTTTTTAAATCTTTGCAAGTGGTTACACACACCGCAAAGTAAAACAATCCAATACTGAAGCCATCTCAGGTCATAAAAATAAATATTTATTAGATGGACAGAAAAGGAAAAATTGACACAAGCACGCTTAGGCTAAGCAGAAAGGTCAGAATGAGAACTTCAGTTGGATATAGACAGAGCAAAGGGAAACAGATGGGAAAAAAAATGGAACCTCTCAGTGACTGTCTTTCATCCTTGTATCTGTAAGATACCAAAAACATTACTCGCATGCTGGACTACATTAATGACAACAAAAAAGGTGACAACACCACAGTTTTTTGTTTGGTTTGGGTTTATTTCTCTTTTGCTTCTTTACTATTTTTCTGGATGTGTGGTTCTATGCACCTCATCAATTTCAATGTTTGAAGAAATGTTCATGAACAGATAGACCCCTAACGATTCCAGTAAATACTGAAAAATCAGAGGGATAAAATGGATACCTAGGAGGCCCCTAACATCTGATGAGCAGAATATATATCTTATATCTCCTTATATCTCCTTATATCTCCTTCTAAGCCAATCTCCTCTGCAAGAGATCTATGAACTAAATGATGACAGCTATTAATACCTTCTAGCACAATATCCTCTCCTCAGCTATTAATACCTCCTAGCACAATATTCTCCCCTCAGCTCCACTTATTTTTCAGTTTCAAGTATAAATTCTCTGAAAAGACTATCTCCCAGGGAAGAAAACAAATCAAGATGACCTGCAGTAGAAAGAGGAAGCAGATGAGTAAGAAGCCATATGCTGAGATTTTGACACTGAAACAAGAGAAAACAGAGGGCATACAAAGACTGTTATTTGGGGAGAAGAATAGACACACCATGGGTCTCATAGTGAAATAGGAGGTTCCTGACAGAAAAAAAAAACCTCTTGGTATGGAAGAGGAGGCTTACACAGCAACTGGAACGTGAAATAAAGAAAGGAAGATCCAACCAGCCCAGAAATAGAAAAAGAGTGACAGACAGAAAGCCTGTGAATGGAAAGGAGGAATGCAAGGAGGCCATTACATTGACCTCCACCTACAGAAGCAAACACATGACTGTCTCATTAAGTGAAATTCTTCTCCGCATCAGTCAACAAATAATGCAAGAGTTTTTCAGGAAGATTTATAAGCCAGTAGTACTGGTGATAAAGATGAGCAAAGAGAATTTCCAAAAACAGGCATGATAGCTAGAAGATTAAACTTCAACAATAAACAGGTATTACACATGAAATAGCTTAATATTGTCCAAATCACTCTTGGTTATATCCTGCTCTTGATGTCTGAGAGTTTCCTGTCCTCATCTTCAGCTTAATATACTTCAGAGTGACAACGTTATCTTCGTGCTTGCGAAGGGGTAGGCACTGATTAGAGTTAAGGGTTGTATGTAAATTCATTATGATTTCAAAAAAGCCTCAAATTAGGTTAAAGTCGTATCCAGCGTGGCTAGTGATATGCAGAGAGAAACGCTGCCCTTATTCAAGATTGCTGTGCGTGTACAGAACATATTCTTCCTTCCTGTCCCTCCTCTGACAGAAAGAAACAAAATGCTAAGTTGCACAAACTGGATTATTGTCATCCGTTCCATTTCACGGGAAGCAGCAGAAGTGGCTTTACAAATCTCCAAGTACTGTCCACATTCTGAAGACAAGCGAAGCAGCATTGAATGCCACACCACTTTTGCTATTTATATATTTTTTTTCCACCATCTAACCTTATGCAAACAATGAATTAAAAATCTGCAATGCCAGACCAGGATTATATACATTTATTCTAGCAGTTACCTAAGGTTCTTTAAAAAGTTTTAATCCTTTCCATTCCTCTCAAAATAATGCTGAAAGGCTAGTGGAATTAAATGACTTACTGCAATATATACTTTTACTGAAAGTTTAAGATCGTTGCAAGATCTAGAGGTCACAAAATGCAAGTTTGGACTTGGGACAAACGAAGCAAGAGCTTTTTCAACAGCTGCATGATTTAAAACTAAAGGAATTTGATTGCTTTAAATCACTCAGCTGTTAAACAAGCTCCTGTCTCATGTACTTTCCAAGCTGCAGGATGACCAGTGAAATACATTCCACTAGCAACATTGGTTTTTGATGTATTTTTACATCAGTCACGCAATAGAAATGACAGATGTTGGACTTTTAGTTAACTGTAACCTGTTTCAGCTACATGAATTCGAACAGTGAAGAGCCTGCTGTAACCAAACAGATTGCCAAGGGGTCACAATTCTTCACAGAGATAGCACTTAGGCCAGAATGCTCTTTCCTTTAGTAGGTTTTTCCTCAGTTTGTCTTTTGGGAGAGTTTGGTTAAACCCTCCAATGCACCAAGAGCTAATACTTCACAGAGCTACAGTCTTTTGGGCAGTTGTGCAGTTACAGAAGCACATATCCAGTATGCCTCCTCACAAACTACCTAGATACATTCTATCCTCGCCCCAGATTTTGAAAACGTCTCCTGTATTTGTAAGATCAGCAGAAAACGTACCCTGTTTTGCTCCCAATCTCTCCTTTTTGATATTCACCAGAAAAGGACTGCAAGGAAGAAAGTTTGAATACTTGTGGTCTACTCTCTATGCCTTCCAGTATAAATTCTTCCAGAACTTCTTCATTCATCACTTTGTCATCATCATCTGCAATAAAATTAGCTTTGGAGACTTCATAGCTAGACAGTGACCGTGCTCTATTAATATTCATACTATTGCATTTACCAGACTAGCTTAATCTTACACCCTTTGGGTCTTAGAAGCCCTTCTTCAGAAGCACAAAGCATTTTTTTTTTTTAAGTGATTCTTTCTCTTTGGGTGGAATTTCACAACTGATTTACTCTGGGTTTAGAGTTAGCATACCAATAATTACTACTGCAGTAGAGCCCTGACAAAACAGGATGCTGCAGCATTTTTTCTTCTGGATACTGTCACTAGATGTAACTAAAAATCACTCAAACATCTTCAGAAGCAAGCAGTACCTACTCCTTCCCAAAGTAGAATACACTCCTGAATATGGAATGCAGTGAAGTTTCTTAAACACATTTTCCTTCACTGAAGCGTAACCTCTGTATTCACAACCCCTGCAAATCTGGCTTATTTCCCATCCCGTGTCTTAAGAGAAATGGCCTCAGCTGCTTACAGCATGCTCTGTTTCTGAGCAAGTCTGCAGGGACTGTCAGCTTTTCATTGACAAAAAACAAGTCAATGTTTCTCAGGTCACCCTCAAAGTTGCTCTTTTTTCTCCAACTGGTCCATAAAAGCCTAAAATATCCCACTCCGGATAGAACCAATCTTCTTCAATTTGTTTTTAACTCCTTTGAAGCTGCATATCTAAAGCTGTTTTATCTGCATCATTGTTTTGCCTTTCCTACTCAGTACTTCTAACATCCTCTTAAAAGCCTCTTTGGCTTTAACTCCATCTTCCCACAAACAGCAATGAAGAATTCCAAAAGGAAACCAAATGGCATATGAGCCATATAGACAGACGTTTTCCCAGTTTGTATTATAGTAGCACTAGTTGGCAAGGTTAACCAGGACTTCACTTTTCTCCTTACGGCAGCAACTGAAGACTGCTGACAAAAACGTGACTAAATACACATGGCTGACTTGGATGGTTCCTTTCACCAGATGTCTGTCCCCTTCAGAAGCTAAGTGTGGCTGGTGCAAACGTTCTCAGGCTATGGGCCCAAAATGCAGTGGAAAGTACCACACTCCAGCTATAGGGCTGGGGAGACAGAAAAGGAAGCAAAGAGGCAATAAGAGGAACACAATGTTCCTTGAATAATTACCACTCACACCACAGAGAGACCTTGCAAACCACTGCTGTGACAAAAAGGCAAAGCACTGTCAGGAAGCTGGTACTGATACTGTCAAAGCTTTTTATTCTTTATCTAAGTGACTGCACTTGCCAGTGTAAGCAACACATCATCAAACTGAAAGACGACACACACCGAGTACAAGCATGCATTTGCACATGTGTGCATGTGCAGATGTTCTCTAAAAAAATCGTGTGTGCACCCACTCAAAACACACATACTTTTGAACCCAGAGGGGAATGAGGTTACCAGGAGGAGATGGCATGAAGACTGAAGGAGGTCTCTGGAGTGTTGCTGAGAGCGGTTTCTTCTCTGTAATGTGAACTGCACAATCTCCTTTCTCACTTGGTGCACTGGACACAGAGGGTCTGCAAAAAGACATATTGCACAGTGCAAGGCACAGAACAGTAACTGCAGTCTGCCTTCAGAGAGCTTGCTGAAAAGTTTCTCGTGTTGCTAGCCTCCGAGAGACAAAAGCTTATCACCTGCAGAAGTGAACTCAGACACTAAAGTGAGGTGACAGCTATGTAACTCTCCTTGTAACCATGGCAGCCAACATTAAAAACTTTCAGAGCAGTAAACCCTGGAAAGAAAGGAAGTATTTTTCAAGACAGAGCCCCAGTAAACGTAAGCAGTAAGCAAATCACTGTGTTCTTCCTGAGCTAAGTCACTACATGTATGCAAGATGGCATTCCAGCTCTTCCCTGCTCTCCCTCCACATAACCCTTAACATTTACATGTCAAGGCTTCAGATTCACTTACATTAAGCGAGTGTACTAGCAACCAGTTTGATAGCAACTGTAATTTTAACATTTTTTTTGTTTTTATTTTCCAAAGAATAATTATTTTACTTCACTTTTCCTCGTTGCTATGGAAGAGAACATGCAACAGGATATGGGAAGACTACTGCTGCAACAAGAAGCCCTTTTAGTTGCATACCCTTTGAATTTTCTCACGAGCAAGCCCTCCCTTGTCTCTTTTGGAACCATGGCCTTGTTCTCCTTCTCTGCCAAGGAATCTACACTAAAATTCTATAAAAAAGTGACTCCTCTCCTGTAAGGAAAACGATTTTGCTACCGCATGTTGCGGAAATATTTATTCCTCACTTACCTCTCCTCAAGCAGTACTGTACGTGCCAAGTGAGCCCTGAAAATGGACTGGATGAATGTCACAATCTCATCTTTCTCCTTGCAATCAGAAGACAAGCTCAAGGAGTTCGTCATGGAAGATGTGCAGGACTTCTGCAAAGCAATCAGATTAAAGAAAACTGGCCTTTTACAGATTGCACAGAAGCTTTCACAATCTTACTCCTGATTGTGAAAGTGGTAGTAGAGCAAATATTCCCGTCTT